TGTCAGGTTGGATGGTGAAGGTTGGTGGACAGCCATTTTCAGGTCTCTCCAGAGATGCTCAATTGGGTTTAGGTCAGGGCTCTGGCTGGGCCAGTCAAGAATGGTCACAGAGTTGTTCTGAAGCCACTCCTTTGTTATTTTAGCTGTGTGCTCAGGGTCATTGTCTTGTTGGAAGGTGAACCTTCGGCCCAGTCTGAGGTCCTGAGCACTCTGGAAGAGGTTTTCTTCCAGGATATCTCTGTACTTGGCCACATTCATCTTTCCTTCAATTGCAACCAGTCGTCGTGTCCCTGCAGCTGGAACACCCCCATAGCATGATGCTGCCACCACCATGTTTCACTGTTGGGATTGTATTGGGCAGGTGATGAGCAGTGCGTGGTTTTCTCCAAACATACCGCTTAGAATTAACGCCAAAAAGTTCAATCTTGGTCCATTTAAGGATTATGGAGGCCACTGTTTTCTTAGGAACCTTGAGTGCTGCAGAAATTATTTTGTGACCTTGGCCAGATCTGTGCCTTGCCACAATTCTGTCTCTGAGGTCCTTGGGCAGTTCCTTCGACCTCATGATTCTCATTTGCTCTGACATGCACTGTGAGCTGTGAGGTCTTATACAGACAGGTGTGTGCCTTTCCTAATCAAGTCCAATCAGTTTAATTAAACACAGCTGGACTCCAATGAAGGAGTAGAACCATCTCAAGGAGGATCAGAAGAAATGGGAGAAATGGGCATGTGAGTTAAATATGAGTGTCACAGCAAAGGGTCTGAATATTTATGACCATGTGATATTTCAGTTTTCCTTTTTTAATAAATTTGCAAAAAATTCTACATTTCTGTTTTTTTCTGTCAGGATGCTGAGTGACATTAATGAGGAATAAAATGAACTTTTTCCATTTTAGCAAATGGCTGCAATGAAACAAAGAGTGAAAAATTTAAAGGGGTCTGAATACTTTCCGTACCCACTGTATGTTGATCATTATAGATTAATCTGATGATTATCATCAGAATTAATAAATTGATTGAATGATTACAAATAACCATTTTCAGAATAGTTGATAATTCATTTTCAGCCAATAATTAATTTAATTAAAAGCTTCATGTTTTATGTTCAGTATTACAGTACTTCATTACATCACACTGTGTATTAACCAGAAACTGAAACACCGGTAGAAACAAATAGAAAAGAAATGTTGGCTCTGATTTGGGCCAAACTTTATAAAGTTCATTTCTTTACAGACAACATTTTATTTTATTTACCAAATGTGTAAAAACTGTCTTCAGCCTCTGTCCCCAAAGATTTTAACATTAACAACTTGAAGAACTAATCAGAAATATTAAAGGTATAAATGTTGGTTCTGTGTGTTCTCTGGTTCCCGCTCAGATTTTTTACATAAACAGGATGAGAGGAGGAAGGATGTGAAGAAACGAGTGTGACTACTTTGATCAACTTCCTCCTGTTTTTCACGCTTCAACTCAAACACACACTTTGTTTGACACACACTTTAATATTTGAATATGTAAAGAAACATTTACATTCACTTCATTCTGAGACCACATGTTGACATACATGACCAAAAACAGCCACAAAAACTATTTACAACAGAAAACATCCGCGAATATAAATGTCCATGTTAGCATCCTACTGCCTCTGTTAGCATCTGTTAGCATGTGTTAGCAGCACTGTTCAGTGGTGTCTGACAGTAACAGATGACTTTTCTATGAATGAATGTTCAGCTTTCATTAAACAAACAGAACAGAGATAAAATCACATGATCTGACAGAGACGCAGCATTGGCTCAGTTTAAGGCTCCTCCTTACTTCCTTCATGTGATGTGTTTCCTGTTCAAACAGGAAGCTGCAACACAGTCAAAATGTGAGGAGGTCACATGACCCAACATTCTTCAATAACAGTGGCTAAAAATCACACAGTTTGTGGCAAAAAAGAATTTCACATTTAACATAAACGCAGGCCCTGAGAAAGTCCTGGAAAAGTCCTGGGAAAGTCCTGGAAAAGTCCTGAAAAGTCCTGCAATGTCATGAGAAAGTCCTGACAAAGTCCTGGAATGTCTTGAGGAAGTCCTGGAAAATTTTCTGGAAAGAAGTTTGAGGATGTCAGGATTCTACATTCAAGACCTTCATTCAAGGATTTCAAAAGCAGCTTGAAGCTAAATTGAAGTGAGACTGGATTAAGAGATGAGGCAGTGATGGGGCAGTGATGGGGTGTGATGAAGAGTGATGGGGTGTGATGGGGTGTGATGAAGAGTGATGGGGAGTGATGGGGAGTGATGAGGAGTGATGGGGGAGTGATGAGGAGTGATGGGTGATTTCACTCCTCTGTTGCCATGACAGCTGCTGCAGCACAAACAGGAAGTATCCGCGGCATGTCTACAGGGACAGGGCCTGCGAGGTGTCGCTGTCTGACATCACCGAGGCTCGGGTTGAGCCCAGCGGACTCTTGCTGGTCTTACTCAGCTGACTTTTGTGGGCCTGTGATTGGCAACTGCAGCAGCGCAGAAGCCGCAGCACATCCTTGCGGAAACGCACGCCCATGAAGGCGTAGAGGAAAGGGTTAAGGCAGGCGTGCATGTAGGCCAGACTCTTCAGGACCTCTTCCACCATGTTGAAGCGCTTCACCTCCTCACAGTCGGTCATGGTCATGTTAGAGGCCTGCGCCGCCTGCATCACCAGCACGCCATTGTAGGGCAGTTGTGACACAACGAATACCACCACCACCACCAGGATGACGCGCATGGCTTTGTGCTTCTGGAAGTTTCGGGTCTTGAGCAGCGTGGCGACAATGATGCTGTAGCAGAAGGCCATGATCATGAAAGGCATGCAGAAGCCCATGCTCACCTGCAGCAACAGCACCAGGATCTTGGTGCTGTTGCCCAGGTGAGCGGGATACACCATCCTGCAGTTCTGATGCGAGTCTGTCTTTGCAATGGTGGCGTACATGAGCTCGGGCACCGCGAGCAGCAGGGCCAGCAGCCACACCGCCAGGCACACCAGCCGGCTGTGCCGGCGGCGCTCCATCTTTGAGTTTTGCGCCTTGGTGGTCTGTACAATGACGATGTAGCGGTCGACACTGATGCAGGTGAGCAGCATCATGCTGCTGAACAGGTTCACCTTGTAGATTGTGGAGGTCAGCCTGCAGATCGTGGAGCCGAAGCTCCAGCCATGCGATGCCTCAACAGCCCACAGGGGCAGCGTGAACAGGAAAAGCAGGTCGGCCACCGCCAGGTTCAGCAGGTACACGTCCGACATGGTCTTCAGCCGCCGGCGGAAGTTCAGGTAGATCCACACCACGGCCAGGTTCCCTGCTCCACCCACCAGAGCGATCATCCAGAAGAGTGGTGGCTCGTACTGACCCCTGAACAGCCGCACTGATTCCCGGTCACACATCAGGTCCTCGTAGTCGCTGTAGTCCACGTCGGTGGTGGGGGAAGGGCTGAAAGAGGATGGGTCCTGACAGGAAGAGACAACACACCTGAACTCCCCTGAACTCACCTGAACACACCTGAACACATCTGAACTCACCTGAACTCACCTGCAGGAAGTCTTCATACATTAAACCTTGTATCTCCATTATGATTTTAATGACATTTGATTAATCTGATAATTGAATCAGTTAATTTGTAGAATAATAAAACAATCAGACTCATCAATAACTGATAATCAATCATTATTTGTTACCTCTGTGGTGAACATTGTGATGTTCATGATGTCATCCATGGAGGTCATGTGATCAGATACTTGTTTATGTCGATGAAGTCATTCAGTGACCTTCACAGAAACGAATAAACAAACAAACAAACAAATAAATAAACAATAGGTTCAGGACAAACAAAAAAAGATATCATTTGTTACAGTGCACCTCCTCCTCTACTACTACTACTCTCTATTTATACTAGTAGTGCATTACATCTCAGAGTACATGTTGTACTGTAGTATTAGTGACTTCACAGGTTCAGATTATTAAAGTAATTAGTGATGAGATGTTATTACAGGTTAATCTGCCTGGCAACTGAATATAAAGTCATTAAAACCAACACATGAATCAGTAACTGAAATATCATACACATGAGCTCTTCTTCTGTGGTGCTGATACTTTACTCCCACATATTGATCTAAAATCGGTAATGACTGGTTTATTGATCTATAATTGGTACAGATGATGTAATCAGATGAGGATATATAACGGATAATACAGTGAAATAGACTCATATAAAACCTGTAGAACAAACACTGAACTTGAATAAAGACTTTTTGAAAAATTAAGTTACAGTCTGTTATGAAGCAGTTCAAAGCTTTGATTAACAGCCGAGTCACATGTCAGATCAAAAGCTTTCATGTGTTCATCGTCTTCATCAGGACACTGTGTCCGACATGTTCATGGCAAATTCACAAATATCAGTTTATTCAGCTGCAGGTTCAGACAGACAGACAGACAGACAGACAGACAGACAGACAGACAGACAGACAGACAGACAGACAGACAGAAAGACAGACAGACAGAAAGACAGACAGAGACCCAGAGACACAGACAGAGAAAGAGAGACAGAGACAGGTGTGGACTTACAGTCGGTGGACTCCTCGTCTCAGCAGCGTCTCTCAGTCTGAGCTGTGTTGACTTTGTGTCCGTTAAACCACGAGATGCGATGAGTCAAAGCAGAAGTTGGGGGGGGGAGGAGCCACAACCATCACTGTGGAAATCTTTAAAAAGAGAAAGACTTTTTAAAGTAATTTTTTTTGGCCATTTTTCAGATAGTGAAGTGAGAGAGAGAGAGGGGCTGAGAGGGGCTGACATGCAGCAAAGGACCACAGGTCTGAATTGAACCCATGGTTGCTGTAGTTGGGACAGAGCCCATGTGGTACGAGCTCTACCAGGTGAGCCACCGAGGTGCCCTGAAGAGGAAGACTTTTTATTCAAATGTGAAACATGCAGATGGGCTCAGTGTCCCCAAAGAGACAATGATCCAATCTCATACTGAGGATTGAACGCCTGATGATGTCACACACCTGTACCACGTTCAAACGCATTCATGGATTTTTAAAGGTTAAAACACACAGAACTTTCAGGCCTGTGGAAAGAACCGATTAAATCCAGGTCCACATTCAGATCTGGATCAATGACATCATGTTATAGCTACACTAATGCTAACACTAATGCTAACACTAATGCTAACACTAACTCTAATGCTAACACTAACACTAATGCTAACACTAATGCTAACACTAACACTAATGCTAACACTAATGCTAACACTAACACTAACGCTAACACTAACGCTAACACTAACGCTAACACTAATGCTAACACTAACACTAATGCTAACACTAACGCTAACACTAACGCTAACACTAATGCTAACACTAACACTAACACTAACTGCACAGCTTAACAGAGCGGCTGTTTCCCTCCACTCTGTCTCACAGGTTTATGTACACGTGTACTTTGGTTTCAAACCACAGGTAAATATGTCAGAGATTGACCTCACCAACAGGTACATACACACACACACACACACTGAATAGTAATACTGAGGTCTGTGGTTGTTCAGACTGAACATCATGTCTTCTTTTCTGTTTTTGTTCACTTCCTGTTAGAGGATTAACACACACACACACACACACACACACAGACACACACACACACACACACACACACAGACACACACACACACACACACAAATACACCCACAACACCTGTTATGAAGACATTACTTTGACTTCATTTCTAACCCTAACCCTCAGCCACACTCACGTGACCTCTGACCTTAAAGGACCAGGCTACAGTTTGACTGTCTCCCTTCAACTCACTGAGGAACACTTTTTACTGTTACATTTAATTACATCACTCACATGCCCCCCCCCATGTCACACAGAGTCAACACACCTCTACTGAGACTCTATTGTGTCTCTACTGACTGTACTGTGACCTTAAGTTGTAGAGAACTTCCTCCTTCACTGGACACAAACACATTTAATTTATTATCAAGACTAACTGAAAATTAAGTGTGTGTGTGCGTGTGTGTGGTTGCAGCTTGTCATGCAACACTGCACGGTGTGAAAACACTGTCACGCAGTGTGGCTTATTCCTGTTTCGATGACTTCTCTCTCTAACACACACACACACACACACACACGCTCTTCCTGTCTTGTCAGAAAAGGAAATGTGTCATGTGACCTGTTCCCTCTTCACACTACTCTCCTTTTTCTTCTTCTGTTGTCCATCACAAACACTAAGATGGTTACAATGGCTGGTTACTCCTTATCTGGTTTGTGTCTGTAAATTCTGTTGGTTAGTGTCTGTCTCTCTGTCTCTCTCTCTGTCTCTCTCTCTGTCTCTCTCTGTCTCTCTGTCTCTCTGTCTCTCTCTGTCTCTCTCTCTCTGTCTCTCTCTCTGTCTCTCTCTCTGTCTCTCTGTCGCTGTCCTTCTCCTCTCTCTCCTCTTCTACTGTTTCTGCTCTCTCTCTCCTCTCTCTCCTCTCTGTTCTCTGCCCTTTTCTTTCTCTCCCTCATGTCTCTCTCTCTCTCTCTGTCCTCCTGTTTTCTCTCATCCGTACTCTCTCTCTCTGGTCTTGTCCTGTTCTCCCTCCTCTCCTCTTTCTCTCTCTGTCTCTGTTCTCTCTCTCGTCTCTCTCGTGTCTCTCTCTCTCTCTCTCTGTCTCTCTCTGTCTCTCTCTCATTCTCTCTTCTCTTCTCTCTTCTCTCCTCTCCTACTTGCTCTCCTCGTCTCTCTGCTCTGTCTCTCTCTCCTCTGTCTCTCTTCAAACTCGTGTCTCTGTCTCTCTCTCTGTCTCTCTCTCTCTCTCTCTCTCTCTTCTGTCTCTCCTCTCTCTCTCTCTCTCTCTCTCTCTTCTCTCTCTCTGTCCCATCTGTCTCTCTCTCTCTTCTCTGTCCTCTGTCTCCTCTGCTCCTCTGTCTCTCTCTCTTCTCTGTCCCTGTCTCTCTCTGTTCTTCTCTCTGTCTTCTCTCTGTGTCTCTCTCTCTGTCTCTCTCTGTCTCTCCTCTGTGTTCTCTCTCTTCGTCTCTCTCCTCCTCCTCCACTCCAGCAGATGGCGATGGAGGTCTTCATGTATCGGTTCAGACCTATGGTTCGGGCCGTAGAAGAAGAAACAGCGGAAGTAAACAGAGAGTCGGAGCAGCAGGTGAGTTACAGTGAAATGTTGATGTGTTCACGTTAAATAGGTTATAGAAACGGACACCAGCCCAGATGTTACAGTGGCCACGTCACTGTTGTTAAACACCGACTGAGCAGTGAGTCTGGATCCGAGTCTATTATCGAGCGAAGACCCATGGAGACGGAGGGAGCTCCGGGGCGTGAGGGGGGTTAACGAGAGGGTGAGGAGACGGACCCGGACTCAGCAGGCATGTTTCTCAAGTGTACCCGGTCTACAGTCTGTTTCTTTACCCGGTCTACAGTCTGTACCCGGTCTACAGACTGTACCCGGTCCACAGTCTGTACCCGGTCTACAGTCTGTACCCGGTCTACAGTCTGTACCTGGTCTACAGTCTGACTCTGTACCCGGTCTGCAGTCTGTACCTGGTCTAAGGTCTGTACCCAGTCTACAGTCTGTTTCTTTACCTGGTCTACAGTCTGTACCCGGTCTACAGTCTGTACCTGGTCTACAGTCTGTACCCGGTCTACAGTCTGTACCTGGTCTACAGTCTGTACCCGGTCTACAGTCTGTACCTGGGGATGATGAATATTTTGCAGATGATTCTGTAAATGTTGATATTCAGAAACATGGATTAATAAACGTCTGTAACATGCAGCTCAGATATTTATTCATATTTAGATCAAAGATCACATAAATATGGGTTGATATTAATAATTAATTAATTATTTACACATATTAATAATTGATTAATGTGAATCATTGTATTCATTTCAGTTCTGTGTTCTTTATTTTCTGTGCTCTGTTTGTTTGTTGACACCTGCAGGGGTCAAAGGTCAGAGGAAATAGAGATTGTCCAATCAGAGGAGCTGATGTCATCGGTGAAGCAGAGGTACTGTGACATCAGCCCTGTCACGCTGCAGGTGGTGGGTGGGGCTGTGAGCTCCAGTCTTTACTGCGGGGAGGTGCAGGGTCTGTCGGGGGAGGCGGGGGGGCTGGTGGAGTCCTTCCTGGTGGAGCTTTATCGCTGTAAACTCTGTCAATTCACCTGCGGCCTCAAGACCTCCATCAGCAGCCACCTGCTTCTCAGGCACCGCCCCGCTGCCCTCACCTACCTGGAGGAAGTTGACGAAGGGGCCGGGGCTGAGGGTGGAGAAGAGGTGGGTCTCCAACGGGGGGTGTCACCCTATCGGCTGGATCTGAACGGAGAGTCGAAGCAGAGCGACGAGGACGAGGAGTTCCTGCTCTACAATATGCTGGACAACATGAGCCCTCCCACCTGTGACATCAGCAGCGAGGGGGGGCTGCAGGTCGCACACACCTGTGAGGTGACACACCTGACACACACCTGACACACACACAGGTCTTAAAGTAACATCTGTCCATCACATGTTCACCTTAAAGCTGAGTGTTGATCCATCAGAAGACACATCTGTCAGCTAATCAGAAGAGAGGAGGCTCTGAGCCTTCTGATTGGCCAAGTGATTTCTGAGTGATCCAATAAAAATATTGCAGGTTTCAGGTAAAACACTTTCTACATTCTGGGACTTTTAACCTTGTTTAGAGTTCTTCTTCCCTCAGTCTGAGGGGAGTTCAGGAATGGAGCTAACAAAGTTAAGAAAGCTAACGGCGCTAACAAAGCCAATGGAGCTAACAAAGCTAGCGCACCTAACAAAGTTAATGGAGCTGATGGCGCTAACGAAGCTAACAGAGCTTACGAAGTAAACGAATCAAATGGAGCTAACAAATCTAACAGAGGTAACAAAGCTGACGGAGCAAACGGAGCTAATAAAGCTAACAGGTTTTCACTAATGTACTTGTCCCTCAGTCTTAGGGGGAGGGGTTCAGGTGAATCATCAGAGACACGCCCACAGTTCACTGTGATGGGGACCTGAGTTGTTGAGTGTTGTCAGGTGTTTGGACGCATGAGGACGTCTTTGTGTAGAGATATGAAGTTGTGTCTCTTCTTCCTGCAGGTCAGCACTCTGTTTGAGGAGGAGGAGGAGGAGGAGGAGGAGGAGGAGGATGACTCCTCCATCTTCCCCCTGAAGGGGAGTCCAGTGGATCTGTCTTGTTCCATCGACCCCCCCGCCACCCAGGAGGAGATGGCTCAGTCCGCTCACCTCATGACTCTGGGACTGTGTCGCATTTCAGCCGCCAGACCTCCTCCTCCTCCTCCTCCTGCTCTTCCTCCCCACTCCTCCTCCTGCCCCGCCCAACACCCCCCTCCCCCTGAAGACTCCCCCCGCCTGCCCCAGGCCACCAGCCTGAAGCAGAGTGGGACGGATGGCCGACAGACGAGGACGCCGCCCTCTGGCAGACGGAGGCTGCCGTGTTTTCTGTGTCCCGTGACGCTGCCATCCTGCCGTCTGCTGGACGTCCACGTCCGGTCCCACCGAGCGGGCGGCGGCTTCAGCTGCATCCGCTGCAGCTGGACAGCCGACAGCTGGGAGGAGCTGGAGCCTCACTGGAAGAGCCACTGCAAGAGGAGGAGGAGGAGGAGGAGGAGGAGGGAAGAAGAGGAGAAGAAGAAGAAGGCGGTGGCGTCACGAAACGTTCACCAGCAAACACATCAACATGGCAGCTGCTCTGGTCAGTATGTCTGTGATCATCAATCAATAGTCAATAACAACAACAATAACAGTGAGAACGCTTTGATTCTTCCAGACACATGGAGGGGCCTGCCGATTGCACAAGCAGGAGGGAAGGAGGCGGAGCATACAGACAGGTAGACACCCTGAACCTGACCCTGACCTCTGACCCCTGACCTCTGACCCTGAACCTGAACCACATCAGTTCACAAATAATCAAATTCAACTGAACATTTAAAATATGTCGTCACTATGTTTCTGTGATAAAACCAGACACCAGTATCTGTTTGTGTTGGTTCCAGTCAGACCAGTAGACCTCAGACTGGTTCACTGCAGAGCGTCACAGGAAAGAAGAAGAAGAAGGAGAAGAAGTACACCAGAAGAAAGAAAGAAGAAGAAGAGGCAGAGAAGGAGGCTGAGCAGAAGTCTTCAGAGATGAGAGCCCAGACCGGGTTCTGCTGCTCGCTGTGTCACAGGTGACTACATCATCAGCAGACTGCTCTCAGCACGGCCTCATGACACTTTGACCAGGAGTGTGACAGGTGTATTACCTGTTGTAGGGCTGTGATTGGTCGATTCAGCTGTGATGTATTTTCTTGACAGGAAGTTCTCTTCTAAGCTGACTCTGAGGCGTCACCTGGGCGTCCACGGAGGAGACAAACCATTCACCTGTCCTCACTGTTCCTACAGCAGTAGACTGAAGGCCTCCCTGCTGCAACACCTGAGGACTCATACAGGTAACTCACCTGAGGACTCATACAGGTAACACACCTGAGGACTCATACAGGTAACACACCTGAAGACTCATACAAGTAACACAGACACCTGAGGACTCACAGGGAACACACCTGAGATTCACTGTCAGCTGTGTGTTGTGTGTTGTCAGGTGAGAAGCCGTACAGGTGTGCTGAGTGTCCGTACGCCTCCATAGATCGCAGCTCTCTGCTCAGACACTGCAGAACTCACAGTCAGGAGAAACCATACAGGTGTCAGCACTGTGACTACAGCAGGTAACACACCTGACGCACACACACACACACACACACACACACACACACACACACACACACACACACACACACACACGTGTCCTCATATCCTCATAGCTGTTGGTCAGTTGTAACCTCCCACAAACTGTGGTTGCTGTGGTGACAGTTGCAAGGGCAGCCTGTGGTTGCCATAGTAACAGGTCATATCTTCTCTGTCAGTATCCAGAAGAAGAGTTTGGACCTCCATGCTCGCCGTCACCATACAGGTGAGGCGTTTCCGTGCCGACACTGTGAGTACTCGAGTCCGGACCGTCAGCTGCTCCTCAGACACGTCCGCCGACACCATGTCCCTTCCCAGCATGCTGTTCTGTGACCTCACAGCTGACAGGACACTCTGATTGGACTGTTAGTTTGTGGGCGGGGACTACACAGCTTACATTGAATCAGTGATGATGCCACCAGCCGTGCTGCTGATGTCACTGACAGAAGTTTTTTTTAAGGAAAATAAAACCTAAAATCTGAATCTCTGTGTTTCTGTTTATGTCAAAGTGAAAATGTCTGGTTCTGTCTCTGGTTCTATCTCTGTCTCTGGTTCTGTCTCTAGTTCTGTCTCTAGTTCTGTTGCTGTCTCTAGTTCTGTCTCTGGTTCTGTCTCTAGCTCTGTCTCTGTCTCTAGTTCTGTCTCTAGTTCTGTTGCTGTCTCTAGTTCTGTCTCTGGTTCTGTCTCTAGCTCTGTCTCTGTCTCTAGTTCTGTCTCTAGTTCTGTTGCTGTCTCTAGTTCTGTCTCTGGTTCTGTCTCTAGCTCTGTCTCTGTCTCTAGTTCTGTCTCTAGTTCTGTTGCTGTCTCTAGTTCTGTCTCTGGTTCTGTCTCTAGCTCTGTCTCTGTCTCTAGTTCTGTCTCTAGTTCTGTTGCTGTCTCTAGTTCTGTCTCTGGTTCTGTCTCTAGCTCTGTCTCTGTCTCTAGTTCTGTCTCTAGTTCTGTTGCTGTCTCTAGTTCTGTCTCTGGTTCTGTCTCTAGCTCTGTCTCTGTCTCTAGTTCTGTCTCTAGTTCTGTTGCTGTCTCTAGTTCTGTCTCTGGTTCTGTCTCTAGCTCTGTCTCTGTCTCTAGTTCTGTCTCTAGTTCTGTTGCTGTCTCTAGTTCTGTCTCTGGTTCTGTCTCTAGCTCTGTCTCTGTCTCTAGTTCTGTCTCTAGTTCTGTTGCTGTCTCTAGTTCTGTCTCTGGTTCTGTCTCTAGCTCTGTCTCTGTCTCTAGTTCTGTCTCTAGTTCTGTTGCTGTCTCTAGTTCTGTCTCTGGTTCTGTCTCTAGCTCTGTCTCTGTCTCTAGTTCTGTCTCTAGTTCTGTTGCTGTCTCTAGTTCTGTCTCTGGTTCTGTCTCTAGCTCTGTCTCTGTCTCTAGTTCTGTCTCTAGTTCTGTTGCTGTCTCTAGTTCTGTCTCTGGTTCTGTCTCTAGCTCTGTCTCTGTCTCTAGTTCTGTCTCTAGTTCTGTTGCTGTCTCTAGTTCTGTCTCTGGTTCTGTCTCTAGCTCTGTCTCTGTCTCTAGTTCTGTCTCTAGTTCTGTTGCTGTCTCTAGTTCTGTCTCTGGTTCTGTCTCTAGCTCTGTCTCTGTCTCTAGTTCTGTCTCTAGTTCTGTTGCTGTCTCTAGTTCTGTCTCTGGTTCTGTCTCTAGCTCTGTCTCTGTCTCTAGTTCTGTCTCTAGTTCTGTTGCTGTCTCTAGTTCTGTCTCTGGTTCTGTCTCTAGCTCTGTCTCTGTCTCTAGTTCTGTCTCTAGTTCTGTTGCTGTCTCTAGTTCTGTCTCTGGTTCTGTCTCTAGCTCTGTCTCTGTCTCTAGTTCTGTCTCTAGTTCTGTTGCTGTCTCTAGTTCTGTCTCTGGTTCTGTCTCTAGCTCTGTCTCTGTCTCTAGTTCTGTCTCTAGTTCTGTTGCTGTCTCTAGTTCTGTCTCTGGTTCTGTCTCTAGCTCTGTCTCTGTCTCTAGTTCTGTCTCTAGTTCTGTTGCTGTCTCTAGTTCTGTCTCTGGTTCTGTCTCTAGCTCTGTCTCTGTCTCTAGTTCTGTCTCTAGTTCTGTTGCTGTCTCTAGTTCTGTCTCTGGTTCTGTCTCTAGCTCTGTCTCTGTCTCTAGTTCTGTCTCTAGTTCTGTTGCTGTCTCTAGTTCTGTCTCTGGTTCTGTCTCTAGCTCTGTCTCTGTCTCTAGTTCTGTCTCTAGTTCTGTTGCTGTCTCTAGTTCTGTCTCTGGTTCTGTCTCTAGCTCTGTCTCTGTCTCTAGTTCTGTCTCTAGTTCTGTTGCTGTCTCTAGTTCTGTCTCTGGTTCTGTCTCTAGCTCTGTCTCTGTCTCTAGTTCTGTCTCTAGTTCTGTTGCTGTCTCTAGTTCTGTCTCTGGTTCTGTCTCTAGCTCTGTCTCTGTCTCTAGTTCTGTCTCTAGTTCTGTTGCTGTCTCTAGTTCTGTCTCTGGTTCTGTCTCTAGCTCTGTCTCTGTCTCTAGTTCTGTCTCTAGTTCTGTTGCTGTCTCTAGTTCTGTCTCTGGTTCTGTCTCTAGCTCTGTCTCTGTCTCTAGTTCTGTCTCTAGTTCTGTTGCTGTCTCTAGTTCTGTCTCTGGTTCTGTCTCTAGCTCTGTCTCTGTCTCTAGTTCTGTCTCTAGTTCTGTTGCTGTCTCTAGTTCTGTCTCTGGTTCTGTCTCTAGCTCTGTCTCTGTCTCTAGTTCTGTCTCTAGTTCTGTTGCTGTCTCTAGTTCTGTCTCTGGTTCTGTCTCTAGCTCTGTCTCTGTCTCTAGTTCTGTCTCTAGTTCTGTTGCTGTCTCTAGTTCTGTCTCTGGTTCTGTCTCTAGCTCTGTCTCTGTCTCTAGTTCTGTCTCTAGTTCTGTTGCTGTCTCTAGTTCTGTCTCTGGTTCTGTCTCTAGCTCTGTCTCTGTCTCTAGTTCTGTCTCTAGTTCTGTTGCTGTCTCTAGTTCTGTCTCTGGTTCTGTCTCTAGCTCTGTCTCTGTCTCTAGTTCTGTCTCTAGTTCTGTTGCTGTCTCTAGTTCTGTCTCTGGTTCTGTCTCTAGCTCTGTCTCTGTCTCTAGTTCTGTCTCTAGTTCTGTTGCTGTCTCTAGTTCTGTCTCTGGTTCTGTCTCTAGCTCTGTCTCTGTCTCTAGTTCTGTCTCTAGTTCTGTTGCTGTCTCTAGTTCTGTCTCTGGTTCTGTCTCTAGCTCTGTCTCTGTCTCTAGTTCTGTCTCTGTCTCTGGTTCTGTCTCTGTCTCTAGTTCTGTCTCTAGTTCTGTTTCTGTCTCTAGTTCTGTCTCTGGTTCTGTCTCTGGTTCTGTCTCTAGTTCTGTCTCTGTCTCTAGTTCTGTCTCTGTCTCTGGTTCTGTCTCTGTTTCTAGTTCTGTCTCTGGTTCTGTCTCTAGTTCTGTCTCTGTCTCTGGTTCTGTCTCTAGTTCTGTCTCTGGTTCTGTCTCTGGTTCTGTCTCTAGTTCTGTCTTTGTCTCTGGTTCTGTCTCTGGTTCTGTCTCTGGTTCTGTCTCTAGTTCTGTCTCTAGTTCTGTGTCTATCTCTAGTTCTGTCTCTGTCTCTGGTTCTGTCTCTAGTTCTGTCTCTGGTTCTGTCTCTGGTTCTGTCTCTAGTTCTGTCTCTGTCTCTGGTTCTGTCTCTGTTTCTGGTGGTGTCTTACTGACAGTCCGTGATCAGGAAGTGGATTATTCAGAATAAACCAGAAGCCCCCCCCCCAAATCCTGTACAAGCTGATTACCCTCACTGACCTGAGGGGGTGGGGTCTGTGTGAGGGTCGGTAGGTTGACCAATCGGACCGTTTCAGTCCTGTTGATCATTTAAAGCAGCCTTCGACAATCCCTTAATTAACCATTAATTAACCCTTAATTTCCCCTGAAAACACACAAACATCTGAATCAGTCAGAGATCCTTCTGTTGTCCTTTACTTTGAAAACCTGAAGCCCTCAAAAATTCCTTAATTTGAGATGTTAGTAGATGTTAACGGCTTCATGAGTTTCCCCTTAATTTTCCGGATGAATGTGAATGATGAGTTTATTGTTTTTGAGATGAAGGATTCTGTTTAGTTAATGAGCTTTAATTGACTTCAGAGATTCAACAGCTTCACCAGGTTTGGATATTAAGGGATTTTTAACAGGTGAAAATACCTTAAAATGTTCATATACCTTTATACCTTAAAAGGACCTTATTTTTCAGATAAAAAGTTTTGGGTTGATTATTAAATAAAGTCATGGATTATAATTTATTATTGTGGTGGTGTGTTATCTGATTTTTAAAGGAGATTTACAAGGGTAAAACAAAACTTAGAATAGTAACATTACTGGTACCCTTTAATTTGTACCTTAAATGGACCTCAGCACTTAATGAAGTAAATTGATCAGTGTATTATCAGCACAGTCAGCCATCTGAGTTTAAGGCCTTCTTAGGTGAAAGGTTAAGAGATTCCTTTGTGATTTTTTTGAAATCATGTAGATAATCCATTTTTATAGAAATGATTCAGTGAAATCACTGAAAATACTTTGACGATGTGATTATCATTATTAAAAAAGATATGACCTTTCACCTCCTCACTTTGTGTTGGTCTTGTATCAATATATCATTAACATATCGATAGGTTTCAGATGGTCTGGTTGTTCAGTTTGAACACATATAAACACAGTGAGTGAGAGGAGCTGAATGATCCTCAGTCTGATGGATTATTGGGATTATTATCAGAAAGTGTGACGATGACTGAAGCTCAAAGCTGCTTTAACTTTTCCATCCTGACAGAAGTTCCAGAGGAGGAGAGAGGAGGAGAGAGGAGGAGAGAGAGGAGAGGAGGAGAGAGGGGAGAGGAGGAGAGAGGGGAGAGAGGAGAGATGGGAGAGGAGGAGAGAGGAGGAGAGAGGGGAGAGGAGGAGAGAGGAGGAGAGAGGAGAGGAAGGGAAGAGAGCAGCAGGTGATGATGTCAGAGCAGGTGATGGTGTCATCGTGGGTGGTGGAGGCAGAGGCAGAGCTCCTCTCAGGTGGACAGGTGCAGGTGAGGGCGGAGTTTTCAGACGGCAGCTTCCTTCAGCTGAACAGGACTGATGAAGACTCAGCTCAGATGATGAAGAGGCTGGTGGAAGGTTTCTTAGACGACTGAGAGACGCTGTCCTGCAGACTGCTCTCAGGTCAGATTGGACTGTATTTACACTGTGTCTGTCTGATCCTGTCAAAATAATGACTCATTATTTGAAACATGAAACTGAGTCTCAGAGATTGTGACTAGTTGAAACATGTCAAACACCCCTAAGTGGTCTAGAGTAGTGGTACTCTCAGCAGCACTGACAGTAGTAACAGTATTATCAGTAGTAGTATCAGTAGTGCTAACAGTTCCATCAGCACCAGATCTGCAGTTCTCTGTGGTGCCAGGTCTGTTGAGGGCCCGAGCTGCTGAACTGAGATCAGATTGATGTGGTGAATCAACTGCTGAAGACCATCATCAGTCTGCCACACAAGGTACACAGGCACTGTACATTGACTGCACTCATAAACAAAGG